TCAGGGCCGATCATACAGCAAAGCTGTGTGTGTGCTGCAAGCATTTTTGTCGGGAGAGCAGCACGCGAATTAGAGAATGGCGGGCGTTGACTTTTATCAGGAGTTCGTTCACATTCAGATACATCACTGTGCTGCTGTGTTTGCCTAAATTCTCCAGATTACCAGCAGGGTTAATGGTTAAAACAGACAGGTCAGGAGACCTGCTGCACTGAGTCTGCTGGATACGGGGATTGAGGGAGAAGTCCTCATTTATAGGGTTTACATGAACACATTTATCTTTATAATGATATAAATTGTGGTTGTCTGTATATGAAATTACGAATAACAAATGTAGCAGGGCATTAAATTACTGTTCATTTCTTTGCATTTTAACTTTGTAAACTATAAACTCATGCGTCTCCTCAGGGTTTGTGTCTCATTTTGTGAGCTGTCAACAACAGTTGTTCGCTCCCCTTCTCCCCTGCTGGCCACGCCCACTCCTGCCCTATGCTCGCGGAGCTCCACGCCCATTAATCATGCATCTTTTGAAAAATTCTGAAGTAGACTTTAACCGAAAGTGGGGGTGTCATGGCCCTTTAAGTTAATAAACTGATTCTTTTACTATATTAGACGTGTCACGATACTGAATTAAAAGAAAAAACATCATTTTCCCGCTAACATGTAAGGCACTGTTGATGGCTTTCCTAAAACATCGCTGATTTGCCATTGTGCTCACGTGCTCAACAGAAATGAGTGTGATTGGCCGAAAAGGTCATCAGTTCACCATTCACTGTTTACAGTTCATCAGACGCTGGATTCGAACCGGGTTCACTATCACGTCAAAACAAGTTGCCATGCGCTTTACCAGCTACGTCACTCGCGCAACTGTGTGTCGCGATCTTTTATGTTGTCTCTGTCAATCAAATGGTGATGGGCGGCAATCACTCAATTAGCTTATTCCTACGAGGTGCTCTTTTTGCATTTAGCCTAAATAGACACTCCAAAATCGGCATCGCCTGTGCCCATGATGCCCATTCGTTAATCCGGCCCTGCCAGTAACAATCCTGTCTACTGTCCCAGGGGTCTCGCACACTGGCCCATCTTTAGTTCTTGTGTCGTTGTTTTTCCCACTTAATATTACGTCAAAGAAAACTTAAAACTGGATCTTGAATACGCAATATCTGAGGTCTATACAGTAGAGCATTACAGTGTTCATGAGTATAATTGTAGCTTTATTGATGTGTGTGGTGTGATTGTGTGTGTCAGTCATGTTGACAGCTCCTCAGCGTGTGTGTGTGTGTGTGTGTGTGTGTGTGTGTTCCAGATGGAGGATGTGCTGGTACCTGCCCTCTGATTCTCTCCTCAGCATCTGTGCAGCTCTGTGGAGCGTGGAGGACCTGCAGCTGCAGCTGTGCAGACAGAAGCACAACATCTGGGAGTCCTGCGGGACACGAGAGGAGCGTCCCNCCCAGGGGCNCANCNNCNNCCTNNCNCNCNC